TTTTTTATTATCCTTAACGACTAACTGCGCTATGTTACAACGATTATATACAAAATAATAGATTCAGGTGCTATCCAACACTTTCGACCTGTTTCTCGTCTTACGTTTACTTGATTCACATCAGAATCGTCTGTGTCTCTACTTTCACAACAATTATCAAACTCCTAGAGTACAAATATACGTTCGCGTGTAGTCCACACGTCGGACGCGTTTGCGCGGCGTCCTCAACGACAAGCTAGTATAATACACGAAGAAACTACTCTCTATTCTTTTTTTCTGTTTTTCTGTTTTCTTTCTTTATTAACATCATACACAAGGCTAGTCTACAACGGTCAGATTACGAAAATGTTTAGCGTCGAACGAGTCTCGTGCGCACACACACCGTGAAATGTCGCCCTCGTTCCCGACGTGAAATCACTCTCAAACATCGATCAACAAATTCGGCAACAAACGACACTCCCCCAAACGAAAGGAGAGACTTTTCCCCGGTCGTGGCCTTCAGCAACGCCTTTGGTATAATAGTAATATTCGTTCGCGCTGAGCGAGGTCCCGATTACATGAAGATTACATTTGTTCCTCGTCCGTTAAACATTAATCTATACGTCCTCGATATAATAGCGATTTTCGTCGCGTCGTCGCGTATCGGCGGGAAATGGGATTCTGCGAATTAAGCGTAATTGTGCGTCTCGAGTCTCGCCAAGTTCGTAAACTGAAAATGCATACCAATGAACGATTTAAAAATCAACGTCGAGTCGAAAGAAACGTGTATACGCGGTGATGGTGAATGAGTTGTGTCCAATCTACCATCGCCAATTAGCCTCCTTTCTCTCGTTTCTTTTTTCTATCAAATATCCAAACTCGGAGAGCCAGCAGGCGAGAACATTTTTGTCCTCAGTGGCAAATTATCGCGTGTCCGTCCGAGTTTGTCGACGATGAAACGAAATGCGAATTCGGAAAGCGTTGTGGCGCGCGGGTCAACGAGTCAGAGGCCGTCATCGATCTTGTCGGACGGTTAAATATTCAGGAGCTGTCCTTCTGGCTACTGTCGAAACCGCCGTCCATTTTCTGGTGGATCTTTCTCTCTTTCTATATATGTATATATGTATATATATATATATATATGTACACACACGTAAATATACATAGTATACATGTGTGTGTTTTTAACGAGCGAATCGCGTTCGAGAGTCAGATCTCAAAATATCGAACACGGTAGAAGGGCCCCGCGGTGCTGTTCAGGTTGCGGTCGTTTCCTCTATAAATCGACAACGCGCGACAGAGCCGACCCATATTTTGACAGACTCACGAATAATTCGTCTCGTTTCGCCGTCTATATCGAGCGCGCGCGAAACGAGATCCGATCCCAGCCTCCTCCTCCCCCCTCCGATCCCGACTTTAACTGACGTTGACGCCACGACGCCGACCAAGTAATTGATCTTATCCGGTTTAATAGATGATCGCGTTAGCCGATAGTTTGAATGGCAGCTAGGATCGGATATTGGCCGCGTTAACCGTTCTCTCCCCCTCTCTCTCTCTCTCTCTTTCTCGTGGAAGAACACGAGCCGGATCGGTGTGCATGCTGGATGAGTCCAATATCTACCGATCGGGTATTACCGAATACGTTAGAAATGTACAGAAATCTTGAAAAAGAATCCCTTATTCGATCAATTGAAAGTAAAGGAGAATCGTCGACACAGTCTCTAACAATTCCTCTGTTTCTTCGAGTGTCCTCGCGCAATTTTTTCATCGGTTGATCTGAAATTTATCAATTCGATTGCAGGAATATGCAACTAGTTGATTTCTCTCTTTGTGTCATCTGTCACCATTGGATTCAGTTCCTTTTTTTTTCCACTATCGTAACACACACAGGACCGATGCTTGCGACATAATAAACGAATAAAAATAAAGTCTGCGAGTTACTGTTCTTCTTAACCAAATTTGACAAAAAAGTGAAATGGTCGGAAAGATTCTTCCTATGTCCGAACCGTGTATTTAGGTAATCCAGTCAGGCGTACGATAGCGTACAAGATCGAGATTAGATGTCGATCAAGCTTCCACTTAACTTGTCCCTCCATCCACATATAACATAATACATAGAAAACTATATTTCTCATACTCAACACATCCGATCGGGAACGGATACGTGTCCATCGTATCATCCCGGTCGGTCTCGTGTAACAAAAACGCGCGCGTTCGCGGCGCAACTTTGCCAACGGAGTAGCGGGGAAGAATCAATAGAAGAGTCCAGGATTCTTCCATATCTTTCGCGACTGGTCTTTCTTCTCTCACGTGCGGTTCTCGCCGGTTTGCACCGACACCTCGGAACCGATCATCATCCCGTTGGTCAGCACGTTGGCCGCCGTGGGCAAGACCAGGGGACTTGGCATGGTTATCGACGGTCTGAGCCTCTCTGTCAGGGCCAGCATCACTTGGCAGTGAAGGTGTTGAATGGTGGCCAATAGATTGAGATTCGTGTCGATCAGCCCGGTGGCCGGGGAGTATCTGTCCCTCTCGACGGTGTCGACGATCTCGTCAGGCGGCAGAATCGCGGCGGCCACTTTCTGCTCGAGCTCGGTCTCCTTGATAGCGGCCGCCTTGTTTTTCTCCGCCTGCTGCTGCAGCAGCCTCTGCTGATGTTTCAGGTACGAGGTAGTGATGGGAAGACTGTAGTCGATGGGCGTGTTCTTGGGATCGAGTCCAGGGCTCCACGGCCTTGGCAACGGTTGGCTGGGCTGAGGAGACGGCGTACGACCCTCTGGCAGCATCCTTTTCCTCTTGGACGAGGCTGAACTTCTCGAGCTCGCCCGGTCCGACTCCGGGGTCCTCCTCGAGTCGGGCAGCGAGTCCGCGCTTGGCAAAAAGCTGCCGGCTACCGGCTCCTTCTTCAGCAAATTCGTGATACTCAAGGGATTGTACTTCTCCTCCTTCTCCTTATCGGCTTTCTCCTGCGTCGACGTGGTGGTCGTTGTCGATGACGACGTCGTTGTCGTCGTTGTCGTCGTCGACGTCGAAACAGCGTTGTTGCCGGTGCTCCCCTTTTGATGCCTTTGGTGTCTGTAACTGTACAGAGGCTTGCCCTCGCCGTTGTGATTTCCCTCGCGCAGCTTAGGGCTACTTTGCACCGACGTCGTCGACGCGGTGGTGAGAGTGTTGGGGCTTAATGGCGTCGCCGTTGACGTTAGCGTGCTCGTCGTCAACGGCGTCGCCGACGTCGGCTGCGGTTGATTGGATAGATTCGTGGGGCTCGGGGTGCGCGGCCGTCGTTGGCATTCCGTGCAGCCCAAAAGAAATCGCGTTACCGCCTCCCGAGGTAGGAACGCGTACGTTTCCGTGATCTGAAACAGAAAGAAAAGGTCTACGCGTCAGAGAGAGGAGATTCGGTGGAATAAAGGAAAGAAGGATCATCGTGGCGAGGCATGATGTTGTTTCGGCTTGAGCCTCGGCTACCGAGTGCCTGCCACGGGTCTAGATGTTTCTATTTCGTACGAGATAAACGAATCCAGACCTGAATCTGTCTAATTTTTTAACCTACGTACATTCACGTGTGTTAAAGATATTTAAATATACATCTGTTTCACTTCTAGCCCAATTCGGGGTTTTCTTGTATCAAAAATCTTCGACCAGACAGTTGAGAATCGTGTAGAATAAGAAAAATAGAAATTTTTAGTCGATAGTATATTCGCCATCCCGAAATCTTTTGGCATTCCAATCTTGGAACTCTGGCAAATTTCAAACCGACAACGACGCACGACGTTTCACCTAGGCGAGAGATTTGAAAGCGCACGGGACCTGCACTCGCGCGGCGTGTGAACAGCGTGAGTGACTGACCCCTTTCGTTCCGCTTCGTCAAACGTCAGGCGGCGTCACGTGGAGCTGTTTCACGCGGAACGCCCACCAAGGAAAATTCATGAGCAGTAACGGAACTTTGATGTCTTTGCGAGGAGGTATTTAGCCGGAGGGATGTTCTCTGCCTCTTAATAGGAAACGTTTCTCTCTAAGGAGGTGGAGGAGCGGCATAACTTAATCAAGAATGGGTGGCTGCGAGCCGAGAAAGGCAATGGTCGACCCCGCGTGTACACGTTCGCAAACTAGGCGTGTATGAGTGCGCGCCTACTACACGTATGCGCGCGCGGGTGGATGAAGGTGGATGTTCCGCCGGCACGCTGAAGTAATTCAATAAGATTTACCTCGAGTCTCGTCCGCGGGATGAAGAAAAGAGAGCGGCGACTGAGAAACACGGATAACGGCTTTCAGATCTACGTGACGTGCTGACGAACATTCTCGGACCAATGTGCGACAGTTCCAATTCGATCTCTTCGGGGTCAAATGTTAATCGTTTACCGGAAGTATCACGGCGGAATTACACGGAGACATTGGAGAATTGATTTTCACGCGGTGGGAATTTTAAACAGTGGAGCGCGGTGAACAATTCTTCTGACAGATTTGAGGAGAAAGTTACACTTGGTTAAACTTGGTCAAGCTATAAGCATAATTTCACCAGTATATCTTTAAGCTTGCGGAACACTGTCACAATGATTAAAAGGACGTCGACAATTTTTGGCCCCCTTGGAGGTACAGTTTGAAATTATGCTCGGATAAAATGAGAAATAGAAATGAACGGAAGAAACAGTGTTTCAGGTTACGTACTTTCTCACGTCGAAAGATATCGTTACAGCTAATTGAAAATTACACGTTAGGTTGTAAATTTTAAACTTCGATAGCATGCAACAACTTTTGCGTGAGTCGATTATATCTTTGACGAAGCAAAGGAAATGAAGGGCGATTAATAAACTACGGCTCGTGTAATGCGATTTTTATTACTCATTAACCCACTCATTAACCCATTTTAGACGCGACGAAAAGGCTCCTGTAACATTTCATACATAGCTCGATAAATATAAAAGACGGCAGTGAATTTTGATTCTATGAAATGTCGAGTAAATGATAAAATCAGATACTCGAAAATTCCAAACTGTCGTTGACGTCGATTAACAACAAATAGCGATAAAGAACACGTGATTTTTACACATATATTTCTAAGACGCACGGTTGCGAACTTGCTGCAAGCTTCTTCCATGAAAAAGTTAGAAATTAGTCGTTGCAACGATTTAAAAAGTTTAGCTAGTTTATATCCGGAATTCTCTTACTTTGCGAAACATTTTTCAACTTCGCTCGAAGACTGAAACGAGAGAACAGCCCGAGATAGTGGGATCTCGCAGCGTGTGCCGGAAGCAACCGGTACACCTGCCAAGTTTTCGTAAACAAGGTACCGTACCGAGTCGGGCGCGAGTATATTTCAGCGTTAAAACATCATCCGTCCGGAAAGGGTGAGTCGCGAGACGAAACGGGGGAGAAACGCGAGGAAGAGGGGTTGGTGGCGGCGCGGCGCGCGGAGGGTGGAGTCGCCGCGAGCCGATGAATCGCGCCTTGTTGTAACAGCGACTTAAACGGTTAAAACGGTTGCAGGGTCGCGGGCGCTAGGCTAGTGGCCGGTGCTGCACGCGTGCGTGCGTGTGCGCGCGCGACCGCGCGGCCGCGTGTGGGTGCACCAGTAAGCAGCAGGCAATGCAACAAGTGTCCTGAGGTTTTGAATCACAAGCAGATCGCGCGGCGGCCGAGAGAGAGAAAGAGGACGGCAACGCGACTCGAATGGGATAGAGGGTGGGTGGCGTGAGGGACGAGCCAAGGGGGTGAGGGGCGGCGGGAGGCCGAGGGAAGGTCGGAGGGGTTGCGAACCAGGGAGAAAGAGGAATGGACACAAGCGGAGAAAGAGGGTGAACCCAGTGATCGGGTCGCGGCGCGGAGGACGGGTGTGTCACGGAACAGATATGATACCCCGGAGAGAGAGAGAGAAAGAGAGAAAGAGAGAGGTTTACGCAAACGCGTGCCGGAACACGTGAGATGACGTGTGGTATCGAGTGTTCGACGCTTGAATGCCTCGATGCCTTCTCCCTCGGGAACGGTAAATATCGCGTGTCGCGGTCGGCCATGCAAGAATTCAGCTCGCACCATCCCGAACGGATTCGGGGTCATCGCCACCCACGCATATATGTATATATATATCCTTCTCTCTCTCCTCTGGGGAGGTCTCCGATCACCGATTGAATTCAAATCGCGCTCGGTATAGTGGACGGAAAAATTGTTTCGCCTGAGATTGATTTCGAGATTTAGATTATTTGTTTTTTTTTTTTTTAAGTAACTTTGAACTCGATTAACCTTTCAAGTATTCGCTAGAATTCTCAGAAGTAGCAGAGTAGAAAGTACACAATAAATCAATAATACGCAACATATTTTTTTTTATTTTGGCGTATTTGTATGATTGAACAGCTTGCATTGTCCGCATAATCTTTAAACGAACTGTCAATCTATTTTGAGCATCGTAAAAATGTTTTCGATTGCGTCGCGTTGACTATTTTAGTTTGAATGAAAATTTTGTGAATATCGCGCGCCAAGTGCGCCACGAGGTAATTTCTAAGCGCATCAACTCTACGAGAAAGTAACGCGCAAGTAGATATCTCTGTATGAAACTCACCGTCCTGTACGTTCTCTTTTGACCGGCATGCTTCCCTGGACGACCCTCAAGGTCAACATGGACAGCATGAATAATGTCGAAGAAGTTCTCCACGATGGCGACTTTCTTGTACACTCTTCCGGGTGGAACGGTACCCTCGGCGCCGTTTAATGTCTGAAACCAACGTGCGACATAGTTAAAAATTCAATCTAACTTTTAAATAGTCAAGCCGGTAGGGGAGAAAAAAGCGATCGATTCCGGGGGATTTATTAGAATGCATCACGTTAATGTATCCAGTTGCTATTACGTGAAACTTTGTTTAGTTGGAAAATTAAGGCAGAATTACTCGTTCATTTTGATCGGTTATTTTCCATATACTAAAGTTGAACAAATATGACGAGCGCATATTTGTTTAAAGTGAAAAAAATTTTATCGACTATGTCTTATTTTCTATTTTTTCTAATTTTGTATTAAATTCAGAAGTGATCACCTACGTTTGTACGTACGAATGCCATCTAAGTAGACAGATACAACTACGCAGCACGCAAGAAGGTCTCTACCTTTGCGTCAGATACCGAGCAGATCCCTGTAATTCCTTTACCGACGGATGTTCATGTTTTACCATCGTCGATAAATTAAATTACCTACCCTGCCGCTCTATCCGTTGTCGATAATGCAGATTTCTATAGAATCCAATCTTTTGAATTTAAATTCTCGTATCTCTTTTTTTTTTAAACACCCAGAGACATTAAAAAAAGTACAGAGTAATTCTAATAAACACTCAAACAAACATTCTCCTTCACCAAACGTTCTACTTCATCCAACATCAACTAACAAAAATGATCCGATTCGAAGAGAAGGAGAAATAATAAATAGCAACTACTTAATTTTTACCTACATTCAAATATTCAAACATTTCTCAACTTGACCTACGAAGAAGAACGCCAGTGAGACACCGTTCTACGAATATTTTCTCCGTTTCCTGCATCGTGGAAAACCGTGAGACCGAAGGGATATACAGAAAGGGAGGAGAGAAAAATCCCAAGTAGTCGAGAAACTCGATTAACTGCGGTACGCGGATGGCGTGACGGTCCGCGGGCATGGCCGTGGTCAGATTGTTCGGACGAACTTTCCGACCTTAAGAAGTTACGAGCGCATGCGCGACATTATTGTATTTCCCTAAACACCTGTTGAAGGATAAAGTTGAACTCGTGGAGAGCGGTCGGGCGGGCGGGAGGGAGGGAGGGAGGGAGGGAGGGAGTTAGAGGGAGGGGGTTTACGACTCGGTTAAGTGGCTGCGGTCAGGCGGGATAACAATGCCGATATCTAGGTGACCGCCGCCGCCGCCGCCGCCGCCTTAAGATAACACGCGGTGCGCCCGATCGAACGACCACCGTTCCTCCCTCTCCCATCCCTCGTTTCTCTCCGTCCGTTTTCCTCCGCCTTCGACCGCCGTAATTGGACGTAATCGCGGCGACGATGCCGCGCGCCACTCTTGTTCGGTCGGTCTGCCAACGGAAATCGATGCTTTCGCAAATATTAGGGCGGCGTGATCATTCAATTTTCAGAGGGCAACCGAACCGGAGCCGGATTAAAATGGAGCAGCGGTAGCAGTAGCAGCAGACTCCGGTTCGATTCCGACGACCGATTTTATACGGATATTATGCTACCCGAAGTATTTCGCGCTGCCAGGCGGCTTGCCTCTGAAAATAAACACGTCTCCGGTGGGCAGACGCGACCGCGTCTGATATAAAGTCGCGGAAAAATATTTTTGGACGAATCGATCGGGATTCGAGCGGGAGGGAAGGAAGGGAGGAAGCTGTTGAATCTTGAACGATGGATATAAATGAATAATTGAACGAGGTGTTCTTCTAATTGTTCGCCGTTGGAAGATTGAAGATAGAGACAAACAAGGAATACAGAAATAAATTTGGAAGAAGGAAATTTTGGGTGTTTCGTGTATAATTCGTGAATAATTGGCCGTGCAACGTCACTCGTGACAGGATCTGGACGAGATGTACTTAATATCGAGTACTTAATACCTTACGAATTCGCATCTCCTCGAATTATTGAACAAGATGTCGCGAGTTCTAATGAAAAGACACGCGAGATATCTCATCTATAAAGCGTCACGCGAACAATATTGCGTTGCAAGATATCTCGTCCAAAGCGTATCGTGCACGATATCACGTGACGAGATATTTCGTCCATAGATGCGAAAGGGTTAAGTGGATAAGATGTCGAGTATATCGTTCTACAACGATAATCTAAATAGCTTATTTTCTTGCTACCCTAATCATTGGACTGCGGACGTTTGTGCAATTTTTATCTACGTCGGATACATTTACGTATTTATGCATGTTGCACATAATCTACAAATTTGTGCAATCTTCAGTTTCTCAAAAATGCCGAGTAGCTACTCGGTTTTAGATATTTCTTCGATTTTAAATTTTAGCTTTAAACGAACTTTAAAAGTTGAGAGCGTTTAAAAGTTCTGTGCGAGTACATCCTTCCAAAAACCAAGCGAAAAAAATCAACCAACCAAGTCTTAATTTGTTTGCGAATCAGAAATTTCGTGACGCAGTAGAGACCGCGAGATCCCGATCCCGTGTAACCCCCCTCGATAATTGTCGATGATCCAGCAGAGTAGCGGGGTCAGACAGCGTCCACCTTTCCCTCCCTTCGGTTGAGATAGCCTGGGTTCGATCGAAACGGGCGGAGATTAACCTACTTGAGAGGGGTGTATGTGTCTTGCCGTCCGCTTATGTAAACGTGCACGGGGGTGAGTTTCATGACTGAATACGGTTAGGCAACGAACAAAGAGAGTAGCAGATAACGAGAGAGACAGAAAGAGAGAGAGAGTGAGTGAGAGGAGGTGGAAGAGAGACGAAGGGGGAGAGTGCTCGGCATTCTGTCGCCTGTGGATGGCTGTGTCACGCAGTGCGTATTGGCATATAACGAGAGTCCACGGTCTGGCCTCCGCCGTAACATCTCACAGCCGCGCTGCGAGATGTGTCTGGAAACGTGTCGACGTTGAATATGTATGCCACTTTGAGCTCGGTCGTTCTAAGAGCTCGTTTTAATGTTTAATACAAAGCGAACGCCGCTCGTGCTTTGTTTTCCGTTCGAGCGACGGGTTGAACCTTGGTGCGAGCGAGCGTGCGCGCGCGAGCCTTCTTGGCGCTCGTCTGGTTTCTAGGTTGGCCGAGAATTCTGATCGAACGGAGAAGTTTCGGTCCCGGGATAAATTGATAATAGTTCGGATCGAACTCGGCCGAGGGCGCCGAGGTGAGTGGCGTACCGGCAAATCTGGATATCTGGAGAAATCTGGCGAATCGATGCTATTCCGCTTGCTCGTTGATACGGATAGGATGTTGTGTCAGAACGAGGCTCTGAATTTTTTAACACGTTTGATTCGACGGTTGACAGTCGTGTAACGTTGCTTCACACTGTTTAACGCGTGTTTTATAGCAAAGTAGGTTATCGAAGAGTTGTTGTTAACTCAGATTATTGTCAAAATGTAAGGCCGTCGTATTGTTTGACGTTCATCAACCATATCTGGTATCACGTGACATTTTAAATTTCAATGTCGCAAATATTTCTCTGCAACGCTTTTCTTGATTTATAAATACTCCTTTGTCCACCCACCAGAGAAGATGACAAAGTTTCCTATATTTTTTGCAATCAATATTTCAATTTTGAATAGTGATCACAAAAACATAGTATTATTCGTGAGATAATCCTACAATAATCTTTGTATTCGATCAGTTAAACAATTAAAAATTATATTATTAATTTAATGGTGATATCGTCAATCTCAGTTGATAATCGCCGCTACGAATTTTCCACGATGTAGTCGATTACTTTGGTACCAATCGCAAACGATCGTCCAAAATCACCTGTTACATCGTACAGCTATCCCTCAACAATTTTTAAGTGTACGCGACGGCGACGAATATCTGACGAAAAACAAAAACGCAACAGTTGTTGTCGGTAGCATGATTGAAACAATCGACAGAACGCAGTGTGTGCATTAGCACCAGCGAAAGTGTTAATCTGGATTTATGGTGATGCGTTTGTTGGCTGTTCGCGTCGTTTCGCGGTTAAGTGATGGATTTTAACACGTTCGTTCTGCGGAGAGTGTCGCGATCGAAACTAACGATTTGACAGTTTTACAACAATACCAAAAGAATAAATGCATCGTGTATTGTATCCTTTAAACGCACGATTACCCCAAAGCTAAGACGTACATTCGAAAATTCACAACCTTCATTTTTATTCAAACTCTCTTTCTCTTTCTCTACTAGATAATTCCTCCAAACAATTACCCTAAAACGACATCGCATGAGATACGTGGTCCCTAAATGCTGCACAGTCAAAAGACGATAAAACGAATATCCTGTTCATTCGATCGGCCCGCGCAATCCGATAGAGCGCGTGCTTTATTCACCGATTGTCTCGATTTTTTTTTTTTCTTTTTTTGCTTTTTTTCTGTTCCCCTGCCCCAACGCGGAGCGCACGACTCGTTCAAAGTTCGACACGATTCAAGCGCATCGTATTATTCCGAAGGGGACACACACACCCGGCAGGTAACTCGATTTCGCTCCGAATTCGAAGCTCGTTCGAAACGGGCCACCCGTTAGCCGATTCCTCGGCCGCCGCCGCCCACCCACGCAACGTTTCACGCGCGCGTCTCGACGCCCGCCAGTTCCCCCGTGAATTTTTTTAATCCGATTCTCGTCGCCGGGGCGTTTGCGTGGCGGCCGCGCGTTGTTTTCCGCCCCCGTGGCCCCACCACTGTCCTCCGCCTCTCCGCGGTCCCAGCCCTCACACCGCCCCGGCCGACCGACCGGCCCGTCGTTCGTTTAAAATGCAAACTCGCGGTTCGCCGTGGGGTTTTAAAACACCCGCTTTAAAACACCTGGATTTCGTTGCGCCGCAAACTTGGCCCCGTATCGCGCCCCTCTGTGCGCCTCTTATGGATTTACGCGACGACGACGACGACGACGACGCCTCTTTCTATTCTCGACGCCGCGTCGCCAGACATTTTCCAGCCCGTTTCCCCCAACCTCGAACGGAATACCTTTTCTCTTTATGCGCGCCTAAGTACGTAGAACGACGTATCAACGATCTTCGGAGAATCCGTCGTGCGCAAGACCGAGCTACGTCTGTCT